ATATAGAGAGAGAGAGAGATAGATAGATAGATAAATAGATAGATTAGATCGTATATGTTATCTATAATATTCTCATCTTATCGCACGTAGAGGGCCCTCTCTGGTGAGCTCTTCTTCCCAGGAAAAGCAGAGGTTGATGGACATGTGACGCCTACTCGACAAGTGAGCATCCCTGCCGCGTTTGGTTTCTGTGGTGACTACAAAACCGCGTTGTGCAGGGCTCTGAGAGGTGAGTGACTCGGTTAGTTAAAGTTAGTGAGTGTTGGACCAAACTTAAATTGGTGAAAGCAGTGTGTGCGGGACTGATTTAGTGTGATTCATCGATTTGTAATTAATGCCTTAATGCTAATCCCAAATACGAATAGACAGTGATGACGAGAATATGCAGCAAGATTAGAATGATGTCAGCATTCAATCATTCTTGGCAGTTATGCATGTCCGATACTCTTTTCTGCCTAAGAAAATACCATGCAGAGACAAAAGTCTAGTGTTCCTCCCAAGGGAAATGAAGAAAATGATGAAGATAAAGAATTAGATGAAGAAGACAAAAAAAGAAAAAGAACTGAAGTAACAGTAATGTCGGCTTCTTTCTTACAGAGCACCTGAATCTTGGTCTATTCGACCTGGCCAGGCTCTACCACAGCTGCATGGCCAACGTCGATGCATCCGGTTACTCACACTCACCAGCAGAGGGCAGCAGCGGCAGCAGCAAGAATCCCGTCTGCGCGCATGGCTTGCCTTCAAAACTCGTGCAAGTAAAAAAAGAAGGCAGCAATAAGGTAGATGCCTCAGTCCGTTTTTCTTTCTGTATTCCGTACTTTTCTGACTGCACTGGGTTTAATTAAGATATTTGATTCCTGCTATAAAACAAATTAAAATGTGGCATATGAGATCTAACGTCTAATGGAATTCGCAAATTACCTGGACTTCTTCAATAGGCAAACATGTGAAACATCATGATACCAGATAAAAGCATGATACAGTAATATCTTGCATTACAAAATTAATGCATTCAATAACGCTTTATAAAAGTGAAATCACATAAGGAGAAACACATTTTCCTATTTACTGAAGCATTTTGCAGAAATTTGCAGAAGCATTCCTTTGGAAAATGTTCGACTACACCTTCCATAATACAAGCACAACTATGAATACAACTAAACTGTTTCTGTTAAATCTGTCAAGCCTATTTTAATTTTAGGTATGTAAAAATGCAAAAAGAACGTTGCAGTGATGCCTTTTCACACTACCCCTTCAAAGTAGCATTTCACAGCCTATCTTTATATTTTCAGGGTCGGTTTTTCTATGCTTGCAGTAACAGCCGGGACACCCAGTGCCAGGTATTAACAGTTAGTTCAGCCATCATATTTATCACTGTCATTCTTGTGTCCCACCTCCTAATTTCGTTCTTATGACTGCCCTTGTAAAAAATAGTAGTTGTTTGGTCAATAGATTTATAGCAACACATGTAGAAAGGCATAACACAAAGTAACTTATTAAGTCACTATTTCCTAGATATAAGTCATCCCCTCACAGTATTTTTCCTCTCGCTATTTGGCTTTGTTCTTCAGTATTTTCAGTGGGCTGGCGAAGCGTCTAGTGCCGGTGGTGCCATCTCTAGAGTGAGAATGGAATCGTCAGGAGAGATCGAGGTTTACTGTAGGACACAAGGTGTTTCCCTGTACTGCGGCTGTCTCCTATACCGGAAGTCCTCGATGGAGAATCGGATGACCCGGAAAAGAAATTTCCAGGTCAGGAGATTCACCATTCAGCGATCGCTGGCATGCACATGCGTCTTTATTCCTCTCGATAGAAAAAATTGGTTAATTAAATATTTGTAAGCTGTTCCACTCACGTATACACAAGGTACATTAAGGTGCGCATTGAGCTAAAGTTGAATATTATAGCAATCGATTAGAATTTTTGAGAATTATTTCTTTATACTATTTCTGGCGAGTACTGTGCGAAATCATCAAATTCAATTAGTTTTATCAAAATTTCTTTATCGTTGCAATAAAGAACGAGGATGGAGGAGGAGGAGCAAGCCACGCGCGATCTCGGCTCTTTCTGCGGCTCACCAGGAAGGAGGCATCCTCTTCGTACAGCAAGGATGACCTCTGGATAGTTGGGAAGACGCTGCACTTCTCCCCCGGGAGTGCCTTCCTTGCCCGGAGTGTCTTCTACGGGCCAACCTCCGGCTGTGAACTCGAGATTGACCCCATCAGTGGTTACTCACCCTCAAACTGGTCCAATAACAGTGTGTATACTTTGATTCAATAACCACATACATAGTATACCATTCTATAACAGCACATTGTCTTTGTTATTCTATATATATGTATATATTGGTGGAGTTATATGATGTGTTATTATATATATATATATATATATAGAATATAAATCACCACTGATGCCTGTGCATAATGGCATTCCGTAACTGTATACATATCATATCAGGGTAGCTGTGCATATCATGCTCTTATAAAGGTATAGTACGTACTACAGGTGATGGTGTGTGAATGTTTCAGTGTCCGTGCATGTGATACACTCCAGCAACGCATCCACCGAGATGGCGTGCCTGCGGAACATACAGGACAACGTGTCGCTAGCCACCATGCCAGTGCTGCCCTCTATACTTAACAGGTTGGTGCTTTCTTTTTAACTCACTTTGGTTTCGTTGAACAGATATTGCACATTGAATATTTCCACGTGTAGTTGTAAACCCAAATGTATTTACCTGTCAACTATATAATATAATATGTCAGTACCATCACGATGATATAATTTCTGTTTGATATTAGATCCCCCCCCCTCCATAATCATAGATTTCTTGTTATTGTAAAGTGGCACTGTTTGTGTTGTCCTGGAATAGTGGGGATGAACTCGCAACCTCAATGGGTTCCAAGCAGCGGAGATCCAGCTTCATACCTCCGTCCAGAACAGCGCCTTCTAGTGGTGCTTCTGGCCTTGACCTTCCCGACTCCGTGATGCGTGAGGTCGCGCAGAGGTTCATCGATAGCTACGGCCTTAATGACGACCAGGGGGCAGCACTGATGCAGATAGTGGGCATGCTGGGAAGCGAAGCGACCAGCTCTGTGTGTCTTATTCACGGTACGTTGGGGGTGAGCCAGTGCTAAAGCATTTCTGTGTGTATGTGTGAGAGCCATTACAAGCGACTCGTTATCGCCCAAAGAGCTCTCTTGCATACTTGCGAATACGATTAATAATAAATCGGCCACACCGCCCCCCGACTGTGATGGACAGTGAGGCTGGGCGCAGAGGTTCATCGATAGCTACGGCCTTATAATGACGACCAGGGATCGCCGGACGCGCACATGATGCAGATAGTGGGCATTGCTGGGAAGCGAACAACCAGCTCTGTGTGTGCCTTATTGGCCTAGCGGTAAACGTGTGTGGGGGGGGGGTGAGCCTGTGCTAAAGCATTTCCTGTCGTGTGTGTGTGTGGCGTGCGGCGTCGTGGGGGGGGACAGATTTAAAGGAGATGGCGATTCGCCGTACTGCTGCTCAGGGTAGATCAATTAACTTTTGAACACGGGAGTCCAACGGCACTCCTACGCCCTCAAAAAAAGAGGAGTCCGTCGGTCTAAGGTTTCAAAATTAAAGATATTAACAATATATTATATTTACAACAACATGTGCTTATATTCTAAGATTCATGCAGTAAGCACATCTGCCAAATTTTCTTTGGCATAACTGAAAAAATACAGTTCATTCTGGCGAGGCCGTCTCGGAAGAACTAGTTAGTATAGAAAGGAATTTTCAGGAGAGTCACACGGACTCCTGCATTATGTCAAACTCAAGGGATCCGGCAGTAAATCGGGGAGTATGTTGCACTGCTCGGACTGCGACCGTTAATTCGCGCTCCGTGCCTCTGATATGGCGACGTTGTTGTGTCGTAAATGACCGCACTGCAGGTGTGATTTGGTGCTGGTAAGAGTTCCTACTGTCCGTGGCGTCCCTGCTACTGAATGAACTCTTCACGCTTGGCAGCGCTTGTACAACTGGAAGACTCCTCGTCTCTATCGATTGACCAACGTCGGCTGTAGATCGTATACCTGCTAGGGTGAGGGTCGGGCCAGTGAAAAAATACCCGGGGCTCGGGGCGATTTCAGCCCCCGAAATGCCATAAGATGAGCAGACCCCTTAAATGTTGCATAGAGTCGAATGCAAACCAAATTTTCTAGAGATGCTATTTTCATGACGCGAGCTTGAAAAGTACCCGCCGCGAAAAAATTAATTTTAATTTTTTCCCTGTGAGATCGCTGTAATGTTGTATCCTGCTAGGTGAGTCGCTGTATAGTTGTACTCCCTGCTAGGTCGAGTCGCTGTATGTGTATCCTGGCTAGGTGTAGTCGCTGTAATCGTGTAACCTGCAGGGTGAGTAGCTGTATGTGCTATCCTGCTAGGGTGAGTGCTTGTACTGTTGTATCCTGCTGCTAGGTGAGTCTGGTATGTTGTATCCTGCTAGGTGGTGATTCGCTGTATGTTTGTATCCTGCTAGGGTGAAGTCGCTGTATGCGGTTGCATCCCCTGCTGCTCAGGGTAGCTGAGTGACTGCTGTAGGTGATCGCTCTAGTTAATCCTGCTGGGATCAGTGTTGTTAGCCTGCTGGTGTAGTCGCTGTATGTTGTATCGCTGCTAGGGTGAGCGCTGTATGTTGTATCCTGCTAGGGCTGAGTCGTGCTGTATGTTGTAATCCCTGCTAGGGTGATCGGCTGTATGTTGTATCCTGTAGGGTGAGTTTTGCTTGTATGTTGTAGTTACTCTGCTAAGGGTGAGCTTCGCTGATATATTGTATCTGCTACGAGCCTGAGTCCTGCTAGGGTGAGTCGCTGTATGTTGTATCTGCTGCTAGGGTGACGCGTGTATGTTTGATCCTGCTAGGCGTGAGTCGCTGTAAATCGTTGTATCCTGCGCTAGGGGAGTCGGCTGTATGTTGTAATCCTGTGCTAGGGTTGAGTCGCTGTATGTTGTACCTGCTAGGGTGAGTCCGCTGTATGTTGTATCCGCTTGGGACACTGTAGTTTGTCCTCGCAGGGTGAGTCCATGTATGTTGTATCCGTGCTAGGCGTGAGTCCGGCTGTATGTTGTATCCTGCTAGGTGAGTCGCTGTTGTTGTATCCTGCTAGGTGAGTCGCTGTAATGTTGTATCCTTGCTAGGGTGAGTCGCTGTATGTTGTATCCTGCTAGGGTGAGTCGGCTGTATGTTGTATCCTGCTATGGGTGAAGTCGCTGTATGTTGTATCCTGCTGGCTAGGGTGAGGTACGCTGTATGTTGTATCCTGCTGCTAGGGTGAGTCGCTGTATGTTGTATCGCTGCTAGGGTGAGTCGCTGTATATGTTGTATCCTGCTAGGGTGAGTCGCTGTATTTGTATCCTGCTAGGGTGAGTCGCTGATGTTGTATCCTGCTAGGGTGAGTCGCTGTATGTTGTAATCCTGCTAGGGTGAGTCGCATGTATGTTGTATCCTGCTAGGGTGAGTCGCTGTATGTGCATGCCTGCTAGGGTGAGTCGCTGTATTTGTATCTGCTAGGGTGAGTCGCTGTAAGTTTAAATGCGAAAAATTTACGTAAATTTTTTTATGCATTTAATTTAGATTGAAAAACGTTGGACCGCAGTTTTCAATGTGATTGCAAGTGGAACAATTTTGATCTCTGAATTCCGAACGCCCAATTCCCAAGCGCCTAAACAGTGTGCTCAGTAGCGTGGCTCTGCGCAAAGTGCTGCATGTGTTATTTGTTTACCGATGTTATGAATCGCTCAGATGGGTGTGCTATAGAAAAATTCTTGCCATCATCTCTCAGGTTGAGTTTCACACTCGGCTTTGAAGATTTTGTTCGCGTCGGCAGCTCCGAAAGATGGCCAAGCCTCTGCTGCCTACAGTGTGATGGCGGCTCTGGTGGCGAGAATCAGCAACTACGAGAACTGCAAGAGATGCTCAAGGAGACTCTCATTCTCTTCGGAGAAGTTGTGAGTTTAACGTTGCTTGTTACTGCGACGACGGGTACACACATCAAACCTTTTCTCACTAGGCTCATTAATAAATACGCCACATTTGCTCACGTGCTATGTAGTAGAGGACATAACGTGCGGGTGCTTCTGTGTGTATGTGCAAATGATACTGTACTGTTACGACTTTTTTGTTCGTTATTCTTCGTGGTATGATTGCCTGCGATGGGTCCATATCCACCCCACATAAGGAACGAACGAATATAGGTATTATAACATTTTCACACACAACAATGATATTTTTACTCTTTGCACGAATGAACGTACATTCTCTAATTAATCCCTGTGTGCGTGCGCACGGTGTGCGTGTGTGTTGCAGCTACGTGAGGCGAAGCATTGAGGCGTGCGACTAGGTGTGAACCAGCAGCGACTGGGCAGGGTCAAGGTCGTCGGTGTCACCTGCGCTGCCTGCACGTTCCCCTGCATGGCAGCGATGAAGTTCGCGGTGAGTGAAAATCTTATTTGTATAGCCACAGGGAGAGCAGACAGACATCTAATATGTGTATGTGTGTGTGTGTGTGTGTTGTGAGTGCGTGCGGTGCGTGCGTGCGTGCGTGCGTGCCGTGCGTGTGTGCGTGCGTGCGTGTGTGTTTGTGTGTGTGTGCATGTGTGTGTACGTACGTTAATTTCTGCATGCATGCATGCATGTGCGTGCGTACGTCTGTGTATGTTCATGTGTGTGTGAGTGCGAGCGTGTGTGTGTGTTTGTGCGTGTGTGCATGCGTGTCTACGTACGTTAATTTCTGCGTGCATGCATGCATGTGCGTGCGTATATACGTCTGTGTGTGTT